ATTTGGCTGGTAAGGATGCTAATTACAAAGTCTGGGACAAGATGAAGACTGTTTAGCAATAGTAGCGACACAAGCAAAGAAGGCTTTGATATAAGTGTGTAAGTAATACACGCGTGTTTGAGAACTGCAGGAAGTTAAGGAGAACGAATATTGCTGATGTAGAAAGTCTACCACTATTTTAACTCCAAGGTAAGCCTAAAACAAAATTAAGTTTAAAACATTAGTTCTAAAGAAGCAGCGCTCAGTTATATACAAAGTAAACATTCAAGAAAGGTATTAACCAGAAAGGACTAGGCGGCCCCGGGCAGCAACGGCCGGCAGCTTCGCAAAGCAGCCCATTTTCTTTAGTTTGGGTTTCCTGCCTCGTGGTGGATGACTATAGATGGTGCTAATGCACTTTATATCTTCTAATACGCACGAGGCAATGTCTACAAAGATGGATGTGAGATTATTCTGATTTGGACATCACATAATACACACACTCTGAAGCCCAGCACTGTATCTCACAAATATGTGAAATTTTCACACGCCAGATGAAAATAAGAATGATGGTAGGTGGCTGTGTGATATTATCAGGAAAGTCACTTTTCTGTGGCCGCCAAGAAAGTTCTATTTCAATTTCTCCAGCTGTGATTAGCGAATACAGTCCTGAACGGTTTCTCTCTACTAAGGTATATTTATTTTATTTTCTGCTTGCTTTAAATCGCATGTGTTACAAGTCCATAGGCTTGCATATGAAGTAATATACATCAGCATGGCATCTTCATCTGCAAGCATATGTTACTATATTTTCTTCTATATTCTAAAGTACACTTGAAATTGTGTCGTTTTGTTTAAACTTTGAAAAATTGAGCAATTAACCAGAACTGAACCTGAAATTGAAGACCTTTAAAAATGCCCTTATTCTAATTAAATGAACCCAAACAACAAGACCCCACAGTTTTCAAATTCTTGCTCATCGTTATTATGGACAATGGATTCCCGCGGGACCTGGCAATTAGCAGATCTTCTGTGCATTTTCCCCTGAGTTAAAGGTCTGGAATATACACACTCCTGATCTGGAGAATCGTCCCTCTGGGCCCCTAGTGCCGACTGAAATGCCTAATTTTCCAAGCGGATAAAAGTGGGTTTAAGTCATGCTGCAAAAGTCCTTTTTTTTATTTATTTACTTTTATTGTATATGCACTGGTGTTGTGCCTGCAGGTATGTCTGTGAAAGTGTGTATCTTTTGAAGTTACAGTGTTGAGTTTCATATGGGTGCTGGGATTCAAACCTGGGTTTGAAGAACAGTCAGTGCCCTTAACCACTGAGCCATCTCTCCAGCCCAGAGGTCTAGTTCTTAAAACTGTCTTCCAGTTTAACGCACAGAACCCAGAGCCTTGCAAATGCTAACCACGAGTTCCACCCCGACCATGCCTTGATACTCTTAAGTCTCTAATCATTTTAACATGTCCATAACATTGGTAAAAAAGGATTGATGATTCAAAGCAACAGACGGGACTATCTGTTTAAATATCTCTAATAATTTCTGAGTACTTAGTGCTCAGTGATTTCAGAACACCCACTCAGGGTTATATATGATAGTTTATAGTGAGGCTTTACTTAACCTGAATTTAAAAATGCTCAGAATATTTTATTACCTTCATATTAAGGACAGACTTAATGTTTAAAAATTTCTACAGTGTCCCTAAAATAGAGGCAGGCAATCTTCAACTAAGTATGTAAAATTCCTGTCTTCTGAAACTCCACAGCTTGTAGTTTAGACTGTTTTTCTTAATAAATATAATATTCTTCTTTATAGTAATATACTGTAATTTATATTTTCTAGCTCTATATTGTATTCATTTAGGTCAGGGATTCAGTCTGTCTTACAGTTGTATTCTCTGTCCTAGAGCAGAGATTTCTACATAGTATTAAACCAAGTGTTTGATATTAAAACACACCCGTTCCCTGTTAACTATCATCAATTTCATTTTTACGAGATAATTTTTGGCCTTCTAGAATTTTCTCTGGGTTTAGAAATTTAGATATTATGGACATTGTCTTTTAAGATCGGATATCAAATCAGATTGGTTTTCCGCAAACAGTTGTGTCTACAGAAACGTTTGGCACATGGGTCAGGTATGAGGCTCGCTCTGCCCCTTTCCAGCACGGACCTCTCTAGCGTTTCCCATTCAAGAAAACCGCGGGGGACACTGAGGAGAAATACTTGACCTCTTTCCAAATTTTATCAACTGCAAGGGAGGCATTGGATTTCTCCTTCTGGCCTTGAATCTTAGTGTCTAAATAAACTTTGTCGAATACATGGCAAACATCAAGTCAAAGAAATCTATTAGTGGGATATTTGAATAGCGTTAGTCTAAAATGATAGTAATACAACATTCTTAATTGTAATGGGCGACTTTTCAGCTAGTATGCTATAAAATGTAGGGACAGAATGGGTTCCATCGTTACAAACATTTCACTTTTTCCCACGTACTGTTTGAACTGCCTTCTCTACCGCCACGTCAACAGCGTTTTCACAGAGAGTTTTCTTAAAATGCAGTCCGTGATTTAAGTACAAATAATGTGAGAGAATGGGTTTTATTCAGTTCAACAAAATGTAACTCCTCATTTTGGTTACTCAATAATTTATTCCTCATTTTTGTTACTCAACAATCTATTCAACGCTTAGATGCTTAAGAGTACATTCTAATCGTGTGTATTTGTGTTCATTTTCAGAACAGTGGGACAGAAATGTGAACATTTGAACTCAGCGAACACAGAGATTCGTCATTCAGAAGCGAAAGGCGGACCAAAGGAAGGTTCAAAATAAAATCCAGAAAAGATGATGTAAAAGCTACTCTCTGCCACACTCATGACCGACTCACGGAGATGTAACAAAATCGTGCAAAATGGTTTCTCTTGGCCAATTTGAATATAGACCAGTTCACTCAAAATACATGCCGATCTAATATGACAGTTACATGAAACATTACTGGAGTTTTCTAACATTGTTGATAGCTGTCTAGTCTATTTAACTGTGATTGAAATTTTACTCTATGGGAATGTAGAATGGTCTCATTTGTTTATTTTTATTATTATTTTGTTACTGATTTTGACAAATTTTTGGGTTTGTTTGCTTGGTTTTGTCTTTTTTTTTTTACAATTACTTAGGGGCAAAGAATTAATTTCACTATTTCATTTAACTCATGAAGCCTTTGGAATAGTTCAAGAAAAAGACAATAGGAATGTAATATGGAAGTTAAGACACTTGACTCTTGAACTTAGATGTTACCAGTAGTTAGTATGAATAACAGCTTCTCCATCTGAGAGAAAATCTTTAAGAGGTTGGAGAGATCCGGGAGCCCAGCTAGGATCAAATGCCCCAGTTTCCTGATTACAAACTGTCAAGAACCAGCCTAGTGTATTGGGGACCTTGTCACCATCGCCTGCGGGCCCAGGTGTTTCTGCCTGAAGGGGAGGAGTGCCAGCTCCGTGGCATCTGTTTCCGCGGTGACAGGGTAGCTCCCGGGGTTCCATCCCGGGTATTGCCTACCTTAACTGGGTGCAAGTAGCCGTCGCCTCGCAAGGCGCCCAGTCTGGGGTCTCGCGGAACCTCGCTGTCGTCCTGCAGGCTGCGGGTGAGGTGGGCGATGTAGGTGGTGGCCAGCAGCAGCACGTCCAACTTGGACAGCTTGGTGTCAGGCGGCACCGACGGCAGTGTGCGCTGCAGCTCCAGGAAGGCATGCCGCAGGGTCTGCACGCGGCTGCGCTCCCGAGCGGCGTTCGCGGCTGCAGGTCGGCCACCCCCGGAGCGCGCGACGACCCCGCCGGAGCCTGTCTGCCCTGCGCCGGTTCGTCCCGGGCTCGAGTCGCGGGCCGCGGCGGCCGATGGGGCGGGCTCGGCGCTGCGTGGGCTGCTGGCGGGACGACCACGCTCCATAGCGGCTCCGGCTCCGGTTCCCGCGGCGAGCACTGCAAGGGAGCAGGACGGCCGTGAGCCCGGCGTCGCAGGCTCGCCCTCGAGTCCCCAGTGCCGGGCGGCTGCTGAAGGCGCACAGGGCTCAGCCTTCCGTCCCCGCAGAGACATCCCTCCCTCCCTCCCTCCCGCCCGTCCACGCGGGGAAATGGTGCTGCGGGGCCCCCGCCTCACCTCGGACTTGCCTCCGCACCTTTCCCCGCCGCCGCCGTGCAGAGCTCTGCTGAGCGGTGCTAGGCGACCAGGGACGTCGAGCAGGTCACTCCATCCCCGTCCAGCCTCTGCTGCCGCCTTTTATGCCGGTGCCCAAAGTCAGCAAGTGGGAGACTCGCGCAGTCACGTCGGGCCGAGACGCGCGCCCACCCGAGCCCCTAGGCTAGGGGCGACAGAGTCGCGGAGCCGCCCCCTCGGCGGACAGACTCATCAATCAAACCGCTTGGGGGTGGGACGGACACCTGGCCCCGCCCCTCCGACCGGGAAGCGCGGAGCCGGGTCGCGGCGGGCGGACTCGGGCGGGACCCCTGGTTCAGTTCAGCTTGGCTTTCCCCTCGAGGAGCGTCTCCGCCCGCTGTTTATGCAGTAGAACCCTTCCTCGGGACACCGTGACCCAGGGACCCCGCCATCGCCCCCTTGCTGTCTTCGCACCTGCGCTCACCGACTCAGACTGATCTGGGAGAAACCTGGATCCCCGCGTCTGGGTCCCAGCTCTGCAGCCCGCACTGGCCTTTGCGGCGAAGGGGACCCGGTCCCAGCCGCAGCCCAGTCAGACAGGCTCTAAGCCGGGGGCTCAGAATATCAGCTATAAACTGTCTTAGAGGACACTGCTCCCTTATAGATTCTTGAATATTTTCCAGCAGATGTCTGACTTTTCACGTCGGGATTACCAAACTGCACTACTTACACTGCGATGAACCAGACGTGTTGAACTGGTTCGTGAACTAGGGTGATTCTTAGGCAGTAGCTTTAGAAAGCACGCCCAGATTCCCTTGATTCAAGGACTCGTATGGAATAAGAAACCACACTGTATTTCCTGGTAAATTTTATTTAACAACTAATAAAGTAAATAGATCCCGGAATTCACACACGGAAAGTCTCGGTTTCAATAAAGAAACAAATCAAACAGGAAGGTATACACCGAGATAACCGCTCTACAAACCCTCACGCCACGCTGTTGCCTAGTTCTAGGACGAAATCAAATCACGCCAGGCTGAACTGACTCCTTTTCCTCACACAAATGTTCCTTTACTTTTGGGTTTCGGAGGTGAGGTTCGTGGATATCGCTTTTTGTTACCAAGCTTTCAGACTCCTTCAAGGACATATTCCTGTATTTTCAAACAAAAACAATATGCGCCAGCGTTTAATTGACATATAATTGACTTGATAGGAAAAAAAGAAGACGACAGACATAGAACCCAGGACACACTAACCATTGGTAAAGGTTCATAGCTAGTCAGGGTTTAAAAGAAAGCAGAAACAGAACATTTCCTGCTTTGAGAACTACATGGAAATAAAGAGGCCAGTTGTGACCATGCAGAAGTGCCCTAAGCTCCCGAAGTTTTGCCTTACATCTCAAGGTCTCTGTCTAGCGTGGTTCGTTGCTTTCCTGCTGCCCTTGTGTGCCCTAGACAGCTGATGTCACAGACCGGACTGCCTAGCCTAGCCGTTTGGTCCCATCTACGCTACTGTAGGCAGTCCAAATTCCCGGAAGAAACTAGTATTTTCAGTCGCTTTAAATATAGGTAAGCCTAAATCTCCACTATCACATAACAAGTAAGCAATGGGAGCCAAATGGCCCTTTTCATTTATTGAGTACTCTTTAGTATCTTCTTCTCACTTCGCCTTTACAAAAACTGAGGATTTTATAGTTTGGAGGATAAGGGTTCTCAGGGATTGGGCAACACGTCCAGTACCATACCTAGTAGATGGCTAAGGCGTGGGTCAAACCAAGTAGATTGTCCCTAACGTTTATGGTCTTTGCCATACTATTGAGTGTTTGCATGTTGCAAAACAGTTTGGTGCCTATTATTAAGATGCATATTTTAGACTGATTGACACCTTATCAGCAGTCCAAATATATGTTCATAGTATATTTTTCTCTGAAGTTTTTAGTTGTCTAGTTTTCCAAAAGAATGCAGCAGATATTCATTGAGTGTGGTGTAAGTCTTAGAATTATTTTTTAGTCTTTTAAATATGCCAAGTTGTAATGTTAAGGTTGTCTTTATAAAATATCAAATGGAAAAAAAGAAAGCATATTTAACAAGTGGTGCTGACATAACTGGATATCAACATGTAGAAGAATGAAAATAGATACATATCTATCACCATGCACAAAACTCAAGTCCAAATGGATCAAAGACCTCAACATAAAGCCAGCCACACTGAACCTTATAGAAGAGAAAGTGGGAAGTTCACTTGAATACATCAACACAGAGAACCACTTCCTAAATATAACCCCAGCAGTACAGACACTGAGAGAAACAATTAATAAATGGGACCTCCTGAAACTGAAAAGCTTCTGTAAAGCAAAGGACACGGCCAACAAAACAGAACAACAGCCTACAGATGGGAAAAGATCTTCACTAACCCCACATCAGACAAAGGCCTGATCTCCAAAATATACAAAAAACTCAAGAAATTGGACACCAAAAGAACACATAATCCAATAAAAAAAATGGAGTACAGACCTAAACAGAGAACTCTCAACAGAGGAATCTAAAATGGCTGAAAGACACTTAAGGAAATGCTCAACATCATTAGTCATCAGAGAAATGCAAATCAAAACAACTCTGAGATTCCATCTTACACCTGTAAGAATGGCCAAGATCAAAAACACTGATGACAACTTATGCTGGAGAGGTTGTGGAGCAAAGGGAACACTTCAGCGTTGCTGGTGGGAATGAAAACTGGTACAGGCCCTTTGGATGTCAGTGTGGCGATTTCTCAGAAAATTAGGAAACAACCTTCCTCAAGACCCAGTAATACCACTTTTGGGTATATATCCAAAGGATACTCAATGGTGCCACAAGGGTATGTGTTCAGCTATGTTCATAGTAGCTTTGTTTGTCATAGCCAGAACTTGGAAACAACCTAAATGCCCCTCGACCAAAGAATAGATAAGAAAAATGTGGTACATTTACACAATAGAGTACTACACAGCAGGAAAAAAAACATCTTGAATTTTGCAGGAAAATGGATGGAGCTAAAAAACATTTTGAGTGAGGTAACCCAGACACAGAAAGACAATTATTACATGAACTTACTCATAGGTGGTTTTTAAACATAAAGCAAAGAAAACCATCCTACAAACCACAATCCCAGAGAACTTAGACAACAATGAGGACACTAAGAGAGACTCACATAGATCTAATCTATATGGGAAGTAGAAAGTAGAAAAAGACAGATCTCCTGAGTAAATTGGGAGCATAGGGACCTTGGGGAAGGCTGAAGGGGGAGGGGAGAGGCAGGGAGGGGAGCAGAGAAAAATGTAGAGCTCAATATATATAATAAAAGCTAAAAAGTACGGGGCTGGAGAGATGGCTCAGAGGTTAAGAACACTGACTGCTCTTCCAGAGGTCCTGAGTTCAATTCCCAGCAACCACATGGTGGCTCACAACCATCTGTAATGAGATCTGGTGCCCTCTTCTGGCCTGCAACCATACATGCAAGCAGAACACTGTATATGTAATAAATAAATAAATCTTTAAAAAAAAGTACATATCACATAGTAGAGAATAAAATGTTTAAACATTTTATACTATACATGTATTTTTTATCTATTAAATAAGTTAATTCCAACTATTTCTCTTATTATTTAAGGAATAACTTTTAGCTCATCTGGTGGTTTAATCCCAGGAGGCAGGCAGGCAGGCAGATCTGTGAGTTTGAGACCAGCCTGATCTACATTTCAAGTTCCAGGTCAGCCAGAGCTTTACAGAGGGATCTTTATCCTTTGAGTGTATAGTTCAGCAAGCTTGGGGAGATGTATACAGTACTATAACTGCCATCAGAATAAGGACACAGGACGCCCCAATATCTGCAGCAATTCCCTTTTCTTAGTTGACACTCTCTCCCGTTAGTTCCTGGCAAGCCCTGATCCATTTTCTGTCATCATGGATCCCCTTCTGCCAGAATATCACACAAATAGAAGCACATAGTAGGTCTTTTCTAAAGTCTAGCTACTCTCACCAATATATTTGAAACCCATTCATGTTGAGTGGTTCACTCTCTCTCATTGCTGAGTAGAATTCTTAGTAGGGGTGTGTGTGTGTGTGTGTGTGTACATACATATATACATACACATAGATACATTTGTCTTAAATATTTAATGATTACAAATAGACCATTCTAAACACCCAGGTACAGTTTCTCTTGAGTATAGATTTTCATTTCCCTAGGAAAATTTAACTTTACAATGCAGCAAATGATTGTGCTAAGGGCCTCCTGATTCTGCATTTCAATTTTTAATGTATGAGTTCTAGCAGTTCCATATCTAATCGGTATTTAGAGACTATTTTTATTTCTTTTTATTTATTTGTTCATTTTTCAAGACTGTTTCTCTGTAACAGTCTCAGGTGTTCTGGAACTTTGTAGACCAGGCTGGCCTAGAACTCACAGAGATCCACCTGCCTCTGCCTCCCAAATGCTGGGATTAAAGGCGTGCGCAGCACCTGACTTGTTTTAATTTCCTATCCATTCTGATATGTTATTTTTCTTTGTGTGTGTGAGGCAGGGTGTGTGTTGACGTTTGGTGTCTCAGATAAGATTTCTCACTGAGCCTTGGCCTCATCAATTGGGCTAGGTTGGCAGGCTCCACCCCTCGCGCCCCCTAGCGGTGCAGTGTTGGGGAGCAGGCCTGTGCTGCTGTAGCTGGACTTCTGTGGGTGCTGGAGATCTGCACTCGGGCCCTGCTGGTACGGTAGGTATGCACTTTGCTGACTGATCCGTCCCGTCTCTCCACTCGCTCTAATGTGTTATTGCAAATACAAAGACTGAGCCAATATTTACTTAAATCAAATGATTTTACAACCTAGAGCTCTTGCTTGCCAGACAGTCTCATTTCACAAGTCCATGCATCCCTGCCCCAATTGCTCTTGCCCTGAGTGACTGCAGGTGCCTTTAACTGCGCAGGGAGGCGCTTGTCCATTCATTTGAGTCACCGCCTCACCTGTCTGCCTTCCTGTTCCTTCCTAGCCCGGGACTATCAACAGAGTCCTTGAGAGCTTGGCTATTTGAGTCAGAGTATTCTTTTATTAAGAGTTCTAGTATTTAAAAATTGTTTGAGCAATGAAGATTTAAATTTCAAAATAGAAGCCTTTTAAAATGGTAAGGAAGAGTTATGTTAAATTTTTCGTTTTTGATTTTTTTTGAGACGGGGTTTCTCTGTAGCCTGTCCTGGAACTCACTCTGTAGACCAGGCTGATCTCGAACTCACAGAGATCCGTCTGCCTCTGCCTTCCGAGTGCTGAGATTAAAGGTGTACACCACCACCGCCTGGCTTAAATTAGGTTTCTATAACTTGGTTTATAGAGTAAACTATTGGCAGTGCTGAAGCCAGAATTTCCGAATGCTAGCTTTGTCTGTTAGAACAGAAAATCTTTTGTTGCTGCCTCCTGGGGGTGCATCCTGCTCTCTAGAGAATTCTTTGAGAACTACAAATCAAATGTTAACACTCTATCTCCACTACTGGACACACAATGTTTGTTTGCACATAAATACACTGAAGGAAAGATGAACAAAACTAAAGGCATTTGGACTTTGTGAACGTGTTTAGGTGAACGCATCCTAGAGTTTTAGGACTAACACTATTCCTGCAGTTCTGAAAACTCTTTCTGAAGTGCATAAATCTGTTGTTACAACTGCTCAAAAATACCCTTCCCAGCCCTGAAAGCCAGATAGTTAAACTATTAGAATCTACTTTTAATTCAAAGGCTCTTAAATACCTTAAGCAGGTATTTCATAAATAGTTAGCCAAAACACAGGGGGCATATTCCTGTGAATTACAAGTCCCTGGGATGTGTGTCCCTTAAAGATGTCTGAAACCTAGCATAGCCTAACCCACCTGAAAAGGTATGTTTACATTAATAAAATGCATGCATGTTTCTACGGTTATCGGCATAGTACCCGTTAGCCTTCTTCATGGTACAGTGGTGCACAGAGTTCTCAGCGGAGCTTAGGAGCAGCATACATGGATTTAATGTCTATTTTTAAATCACCAGGGTTCAAGCTCCCCCTCGCATGTTTGAAAAGGGAGGAAACATCTGTCAGAAGCGCTTACCGTGACAAATACGGAGGAAAGCAATAATGTGTACCGCTCCCGTTTATT